AAAATTTACCTGGTAAGTACCGTGTTGGTGCCGTTTCTTTTCATTGCTTCCTTCAAATTCCTTTAATTTGCTGTATTTTTCTGCTTTTGAAGAATAGAGAAACTTTACTAAGAAGCAATAAGAAAGCATTCTTGTTGCAGTTTTGCGATAGAAATGATAATACGATGGCTGCCATCCCAGTGTCCAGCACAATGCCAATCACTGCCAACCTACACAATGTAAGATTCACTCTAAAAGTCCTACAATCCTGTGCTCCTAGTCACATGGCAAGATGGGAATTAAGATTTTTCATTTTTATGAAATGTGTGTCCCTAATTTCCATGAAAATGCACAACAGTCCAGAGCAAAAAAACCCAACAATTACAGTGAAGGAATTCACCAAGTAAATTTGTTATGCTGTAAGCCAGAAGTTTTCACCCAGTCTAATTTCTCGTGTGTTTAACTCCTTTCACTAAACAACCACCACTCACCAAGACCACTGCCAGGTATCAGGGCAGGCCTAAGAAATACCAAATAGTATGCTATAACTCTTCTTATACACGTGATGGGAGTAGGAAATTACAACAGCCTCTTCTGTGTTATGAAATGAGAACCTAAGAACAACTGTGCTATGATCTACTGGTGACAAAGGAAGCTAATATAAAAAGCTTTGCAAGATTTCAACTTTATCAACATTATTTAACTTCTCAGATCCTTAAAGGAGCGTACTTGATGAACACAGCTGATGGGAGAGAACGGTTTTGGTTATGAAAGCCTGGTGTGGTATGGAAGAGAAAAATTACAGGACAAAGCCAATAACCGTACAGCTTGGAAATAAACAGAAAATATGAGGCCAAGGTGAGCAACACTTTTTAACAGCTTAGATGTCATAAGTGAGAGAACATCAGGGATGGACATCATTGGATAAGCTCCCAGCTGCCAGTGGAAGGAGTTGGAACAGCTGAAAAGAAACTGAGATAAAAGCATCCTGATGTCAAAGACAGCAGATGTGCACCTACATGAGAGTATGGGGACCCAATGAGATGCTGGAATGACACTCAGTTACTGACTTATCAAAAATACTGTTAGTTGTCCTACTATATGCTAAAACTTTGCAGTAGACACTCCTGAGGATCCAGTAGTAGCTCCATTTTCAGAAAAAAATCAAAAGAGCCAATACCCATGTGTCCCAAGCGTAGATGAGGAGTTTGGCCTCCAAACTGTGGTGACCATATGTTGATAAAACAACATGATTTTTAACTCAGCACACACCTTATTTATCAAGATACAACTTTCAGAGACAAGCACTGGAACAGTTCCACTAAACACGCGCACTATATGTTGTTCCCACAGTCAGTTAACTATATAGCTTAGTGGAAAAACCTTGTTAATGTTATCCAGTTTAGAGAAAGTGATCTACATTTATCAGTGGAACAATATCTTGTAAAATACACTTGCCTGCTTAGACTTGTCTTCCCTTTTAAAGACAAAATTAGCCTCTGAATTACAAATTTGGCCACTGCCAACCAATCATGTAGCAATCAAAAATGAACATTCCTAAGAATGAAGACAGAAGAATCAGAAATGGGCATGACAGCATCATGAAATATGGGCTATGCAAGGGTTTTACTTTTTATTTACAGTAAACATACTACAGTAAAAAAGCTTCACATGGTGCATATTGTGGTTATGTAAGGATGATACATATGCTTTCATCAAACAGGTTTAACTTCCTTGGCACTAACTGAACCAAATGCAAGGATTCCACACAAAAATAAGAAACAGAACATTTATTAGGCAAACTCTACATTAACTTTACACATCTGCGACTGGAGTTTCGATGCAATCCAAAGAATACAAACAAGCAATCAGGATGGCAAGAACTTTTTTGATGAACATGTTTAACCCTCAAGACAAGGCTGTCTGGCACCATTTAAGAGTTGCTGTACTGAACACAGTGATTTAAAAGAAATGTCATAGATGATTAAGACACTGAGAATGCACTCGCCACAGTAAAGAATCACATAATTTTCCTTATTTCTTTTATTTTTTACTCCCTCAATACAAGAGTGTTAAAAGGCTGCATGGCAGACAAGCTGGATGCAACAGCTGGAGGGTTTTGTCTGTCAAGCAAAGTGACTTGCAGCAAGACACATGCTTTATGCAACAAAACCGACGATGCACAGCTTGTGGGGGTTCAAATAAGATCTAAGAACAACAAATGTTGAAGCCTTATAAGCTCTCTTCATTATAATCAGAATCCTGAGAAAAGCAGGACCCAAATTACTCCAAGTGAATTTAGGCTCACTTACATACAACAAAATGTCCAGATACATCAACAGCAGTAAACAGAGTTAATTCAGTGTTAATCTTTTTACATTTTAATGACTAGCTATAAAAACAGAAACTAGCATGTCCTAAATCTGTTTATATTTCCTGAGCTTAGTTAAATCAAGAAGGAATGAACATTATAAAAATCCCGGTAAGTCACCAATAAATTAAGAATGTACATAACCACGATAGCTTAAGAAGCCTTACAATGCTCAGAGTGACGTCTGCCTATCTGATTCCATGGACTTTCCTTTAGGACTCGTGTATAAACCACACATCTAACTTCATCAACAATACTGAGATGCTATGGAATTGTAGGTCTTTGTTTCTCTGCTCTCCAAGAGCCCTTCTAGCAGACTATGTGATAGCCTTTCCTAATCAAATCACGTAAAAGCATTCAAGAACTGCAATCCTCTATTTTCAGTGCAGGAAACAATGTTCTCAGAAGTACAATATGCTACTGAAACTCAAATTTACTAGCAGCAGTTCCTTGGGTGGACTCTCAGCTCCTGCACATACTATCACCCCACTGGCAGCAGGTTTAGTATCCTTTCAGGGAACAAACCCATGAAAATCTACGCAGAAGACTGGAGGAAAGAACCTTAGCAATAAAAAATTCATCTTAGCAGTTGTTTTAAGAGCCAACATTTTGCATTTGAGAAAAGCACTCAACCTACATGAGTCATACACATGTTTATTTATGTATGTTTATTTTCTGCAGAGAGAATAATGTGTACCTTGGAATAAAACCCAAGGTTCAAGAATATACTGAGAGTAGGGGTATTTGTAATAGTGCTAACGGCAGATTAATTCAAACCCAAATGTTCAAACTCAACTGTCTCGAAGACTTGCAGAGCATGAACAAACTACTTCTTAAAAAATTGTCTGCTTATAGTATGATTTTTAATTTACGGTGCAGATAAGAGAGGTAGAAAGATTTATCCCCTCAATATCTTTTTTTTTGTGCAGTGCTTATAAAGTATCAGAAAAAAGACCTACAGGTTTTTGGTGAAAACACCAGCTTTCCCCCTAAGAATTCTATGGAACCTCTCTTTCCACTGAAGTGCTGCAAAGTAAGTAACTGGAATCTGATTCAGTAAAGTTCTTCTTCCCACTAGCCTCTTTACATCACTTTTGTTACCAAATTCTGCTTTTAAGAAGTCATTGCAGAAATACTGCTATACAAGGCTCAAAAATATGTAGCAGATACAATGTACCCAACAAACTACACTCACCAGCCAAACTGCATCAAGTCTGCTCCTAAAAAAAGCACTCGCTGTTGCTCTACTTACATGATCCCTCTGACACATGCTACTGAGAGGGACAGAAGCATGGAAGGCCATATAGCCCTTTCCCTCTTTGGTGAAGGCCACAGGTATGGGCATCATCATCACTCTCACTGGCAGCAGCTAGAGAGCTTCCTAAAGCAGCTTCTTTCCTACCACGTTCCACCCACTGCAGCAGGAAGATAGATAGTGCTTTAGTGATGGGCACCCAGAAAGGTTAGGAAGGACAAGCTGACCAGGAGAAATCACGCTGGTAAGAGAAATATCTATCCTTCCCTGGTGTAAGACAAGCCTGTGGCACTACAGGCTTCATGATTGTCACTAGACAAGGGAGAGAACTGAAAACATTTTGGCTCGTGCAGCCTGCATCATCAAGAGTGTGCTTCATCTTCCACTGAGCCGAGAGACTCAGGAGCCAGCAGGGCCAGGCAAAGGCAGGTCAGGGGCAACAGGGTGGGATCTGGCAATAAGGGCTCCAGTCCTGACCCCGCTCTCTCAGCACTGCTAGAGCTGATGTAGCTGGAAGAGAAGGACTTGCCTGTTGACATTTTGGAGGGCACAGGGCTGGAGCTCCAGCATTATTCCTGTAGCTGTGACTGTTCAGGGTTGGGATTTGAGCCATGAAAGTCAGACTGCTGCATGGTGACCTTTAATTTACCCACAGAAAGTTAAATAAATTACATTAAATTAAATTCAGCCAAAGCAGATGCTAGCTGATTTATTAAAAAGCTCAGCTTTCTCTTTCTTTCAACTGGTTTTAGAGACAGGCAGCTCTTGGGAGCAGCCCTTCACTCGAACTCAGTCGGACAAGAGCAGCTCCATGAAGATGGCCAAAGTGACTCTCCTGCAGCAAGACCAGCCACAACAGGACCTGGGTCTCCCTAGGGGTGCCCAGCAAAAGCACATGAGCACAGCATTGTCACCTGCTTGCTCTCCACATTTCTTGCCTCAAGCAGGTCTTCCCTCTCCTTCCACATAAACTGGACTGGATGCACAGTGGAAGATGGTTCTTCACCACCAACACTGCCTTCTATTGTCATACTTTTTTCAAAAAAAAAAATCTATGAATTGAGTAATATGAATAAGTATTTAATTCATTTCAGAGAAACTGATACTGCCCTGAAAATATATAACTTGTCACTAATGTTTGATAGTTTTGGGTAAGGAAGCTTGTACACAATAACAGGGTCATGTTTACAATACAGGTTGGAAATGTTTTCTTTCCTTCAGTCATTATGAGACAACCAATGCTACTGTACTCAAATAATCAACAGGGACACTTCTCATTTTTACCTGCTCTCCTATTTGTCCTTCTATCTGCTACCTTTCAACAGCATGCCTAAAAGCAGAGTCACATAAATAAGAGATGTGTTGCTTTCAGCCACACATGCTTTGTACACAGACTATTTTGTCTCTTTCTTTTGTTCTCTGGAAACATTACTCCCATTAATTTCATCCTCAAACTGTGATCCACCAAAAGAAACAAAAAAATTCAAGTACAAACCCAAACTTTATTGCTGGGTTATGGGTCAATGTAAACTGACCAGAGTCAGCCAACCTAAAATTTGCTTTACAAAAGTAGGGATTGTTTGATTACATTTGCTGACCATAGACAGTTTCTTTCACTATTCATACAGTTTGAAGACTGAAGATTTGCTGAGAGCAAGACACAGTCCATGTCCTTGGGAAGTAAATGAGACTAATAGCCATCATCATCATCCATATCACAGCCATAATCTGAAACACACAAAGACAAAGGCATGTAAAAACGCAAATATTCCAGGTAAATGGAAGATAAAGCAAAAGTATTGCTGCTTTTGGGTGGGTTTCCTGCCTTAAGCCTTTTAAAAACCTGTATATTTTTCTAGGGCTGAACACAAAGTTCTTGCATGTACTTTTCTCAGTGAAACAAAATTATTTGTATGCATGTCTGTGTGAATATCTCTTCTCACTTGTCACTGGACCCTCGTTTAAGAATACCTGGCACCTGGATATGTAAAATACTTGGTTCAATTTATAGGTTAAGGTGATCAAGCCTGATTGTCACAAGTAATTTGGAACATGGTGGCTGAGAAGCAGCAGCATACATTTACAAGTAGGCATCGCTCTCACTAGACATAGCCACCAAGAAAAAAGCTGGCTTGTTTATAATATTCATGGATTTAAAAGCTGAAGCAGCAAGGGTTCAGAGATAGCTCAGAGTTCCCATCAACATCAAAGGAGTCCTGCAGCAAATCCCAATGCATCTGACTCAGATCTCCTGTATCTACTTACTCCTGGAGGAACAACTTAAAATTTTGCCTGGATTTTTTTGTCTGGTTTTGTTTTCTTAAACAATGATGAGTGTAAAGACTGTGATCTATGTGTCAGAGGGCAAGTCTGTGTGTTTCTAATGCACCAGTTTCTCCTCTGTGTGCTTCTGAACGCAGTGAAACAGATACCTTCTGTTGCGTAGTCAAACCTACAGGTAACTACTACATATGAGCACTCAGTAAAGTTAGCCTTCATATTCCAAATTCAATACAATGCAAACACCTCATCCAAGGAGTCAACCAAATGCTCAGAAGCAGAATTTAGTGTGATCTGTAATAATTTGTCTAGAATGGGTGAAGTTCACCATCCATAATTCCTGCAGTTACTCCAGGCAGACAGGCCTAAGCCCCTGCAAAAGCAGTTACACAGGAGCTGTTTGTTCTGCCGAGCAGCTCTGCACACCTGCGGCTCAATTCTGGGAATGTTCTTTCTCTTCTCATTTTTTTTTTTTTTAAACTCTGATTTTTCAGCTGCCGTCCAGACCAGAGAGGGAGTACTGGAATGTTCTCAGAATGGTTTAAAAATAGTAACATTTACAAAGAAAAAAAAGCTCAGTGACCTTTATTCTATTTTTGGGGGGGGGTTATTAATAAACATAGACCCACCCTCCTCCACATGGGTGTCTTTTCTTGGGAACATTATTCTAATAATAAATGCAGCAACAAACTGTTTTTCCTACAGTTCAGCAATTATTTTCCAGTGGAGAAGTCAATTTAAAAGCAACAGACACTTCTGCGAAATGTATACACATTGTCCATGAAAGCTTAATTAATAGTACTGGAAGGATTTTTGGAATAAATAACATTTCAGTAGTAAACTTATTCCCATCTTGCTTTTTCACAACACATAATTAGCAGCTCTCATTTTAGAAATATTTTTGTATATTTTCAAAGCTTAACTTCTAAGGGGAAGTTTTTAATAAAGGATAAATGTGGATGTGTCCAGCTAGGAAGAACCACAGCGGAGAGGATACTGCCTTTTCCTGCCAGCAAAGAAACCTAATTAGCTGAGTGGCTTCGCTGGGGAAGCCACGGAAAGGAGCCCACATCTGTGCACCATACAGCAGGCCATATGCCATCCATGCCATTTCCGTACTTGGAGAAGAACTCCTTCCTTCTAACGCTTTCCCCAAAAAGGGAGTGTGACGATTCATTTTGTTTTGAGCTGGATGGCCATGTCCCCAGGGCTCACGGACAACCTGGACATCACTGCAGCCCCAGCTGAGGAGACAGGCAGGAGATGGATGGCTCGGCTCAGGAGGCAGCAAGCCCCGAGCACTGCTGACAGAGGGGTCACTGACCCCATAATTCCTCAGATCCACATTAATAAACTTAATTCTGAAAGAGGCGTAACATCAGTTTGTTCTGGAGAAGCCCTCTTAGCCTAAAGCTCAAGATGCATGGTCTGCTCAGGGGGAGTCTCTAAGAAGGTCAGGTTTTGGACAAGGGTGACTCCCAGGCTTTCCCACAGGAATGGGCAATGCCAGAAAGGTGGCTTGAGCTCTGCACCAGACAAGCTGCCAGAGGACAGGGAAAAGCAGAGGAACTCTGTCTGCAGCCCTGCAACAATGAGCTCCACAGCACCAGCACATGGTAAGTTAGACAGCATCCCAGCTTACCATTTCCTCCCATTAACTGCAAGGCGCTCATGCAGTGATCATCATCTTCTTCTGCTTCTTCCTCTTCCACCTCTTCATCAGGGTTATAAGCTACTGGGCCACTCTCCACTAGCACAGCCGCTGGTTGTTCTAAGTCAGGAGCTTCTGCTTGTGCATTTGGAAATGTCACCTGCAAAAAAGAAGAGGGGACAGTAGAGCAGCCCTTCCTTTTGCACAAAATGTTAGCAGCTTCCACACAGAGAAGCCCACACCCAGTGCTAGAGGCTTAGATCGCCCTGGGCACAGGGAAGCTGCTCAGTGAAATGTCGCCCAAATGAAAGTCAGGCAAAATCATCCACAGTTTTCAGATAGTTCACAGCCAGGCAACTGAAATATCCAGACACAATAACAGCAGAACAAGGATCCTCTTGCAAACACAAGGTAAGGAGAAATCTAGGAGAAAAAGCTCCTCAGCAAAGCACTGTGGGAAAGCTTACAACCTTCTCCTCATTGTGCTTGACTTAACATCGGGCCCATTACACAATAACAACATTATTGACACTTTAATGATAGCAAAAATGTACCTTTCAAATCAGGAAAAAACCAATATGTATTAGTTTTGACAGCTCTGGATTTATTTGGAGGCAGATTGAGCTGTGGAACAAATAGCACTCTTTAAGCAGCACTTAATGTGATGGCAGAGCACTAGGTTGATAATACCCACCAGCACCTGTAACATTACCTATGAAATTCATCAGAACAACGATCTCCAAACACTAACCTGGGAATGGATCACTGACAGGACCTGTGCACCCCCCCCAAGCTGCTCCAAGGTTAGTCAGGACACAGCAGAGAGGCAGAGAAAGGGCAACACTGCAAGGAGACAGATGGGAATTTGGAAAAGGCAATATTGCCCTTGGTTCACTGATGAGAGATCTGGGAATGGGGCAGGAACCAGCAATGTGGTCTGGCCCAGCAGAGCCCAGGTCTCTCTGGAACTCTCACTTTCATGGTGTGGTCAGTCCAGGGCTCCACCTCCCTCTCTCATCCAGGGACGAACCATCACAGGAGCTTTATCTCCACCAGCTTTGTCACAGGGCACTTCTCTCCTCCATTCTATACTTGGACTATTTGGAGTTTGTATATTAGAGCTTGTGGCCCAAAAATATTTTTCATTAGTGGCAACTTTGAAAGCATTAAAGATTAATTATTAACATTGTAAGAAATGTCAAGAAGGGAATACTTAACAGTACCTGTCACTAGTCAGCACTGAGTCATCTCCCCTACTAGGAAAGACAGAAAAGACTGGGACTGCTTCCTTGGGAAGGACAGTGGTGAGAGGCTCCTACCAATGAATGGTCCAAAGGAGACCAGGAAACTCCAGCTCCTCCAAGAAAAGTCCTACACTGCTTTAGGTTATAAATTACAACACACAACTACGTACTGCTGCATCTTCTCCAGTTCCATCATCACTAAGTTCTGATTCGGCACTGAGAGTTATTTTTATTGGTTTATTTACAAATTTATTTACTTGCGATGCAATAACTCCCAGAATCCCTGTAACTCCAGGCACTTTAGAGATACATCATAAGAGAAAAACCCTGTACCAGAAATTTGATAGTCTAATTATTCAAACATCAAAGCTGTTCCTGAACTTGTCATATACCATGACAGTCAACCTAAAGAATCTGCCTGAGTTTTTCAAAGTCACCTAAGGGTTTGCTCCAATAGCTCATTAACAGGGCAAAGACACCCATTAATTTTAATAGACTATCAAGTATTTAGATATTTGGATCACTCAAAGACAGGTTTTCATGATTTTTTAATGCTCAAATTAATCATATTATTTAGAGGAACTTCCCTGCAGTTGATTTTATATTTCCTACCACTTTTTTTGCCTCTAGAGTGATCAGATTGAGCCCATTTAGGGTTTTCAGTATAAACAGAAATAGACACAACATTTTGAGACAAATCAGCATCATAATATATATCAATTTATATGCTTAAAAGTATCCATCTGCTCTGAAAAAGTGGGTGAATATAAAGGAGCTACAATTGAGTCATTATTTTTTAAAATTGCACCACACTAATTAAAATGTGACCTTCTTCTAATTATCATGTCCGTTTCCAGACTGCTACACTTCTAAAAATGTGCAGAGTTTTCTAATGAACATAACATAAGAAGTGAAAATGTATTTCCCCAGGCAGGATATCAAACTGTTTCTGAAAATCAATGGGTTTTAGTAATTTTAAAAATAAGGCAGTCAAACAATGCCTTTAAATAGAACTTCCTGAATTTACTTCCAGACATCCTGGACTTGAGTTTGGCACATATTTTTATGTATGGATGGGCAAATGTCAAAGCACATTAAACTACCCAAGGTAAATGGTTCACCTTCATAAGGGTGTCAGTGTCACACATTCAGGGGAAAAAGAAGGAAAAATACCTTTAGTATATTAGGAACAAAATTTTTAGCCACATAGTAGACATTTTATCAGACATAAAATGCACATGGCTACTCTGTGTAAGGCGTGAAAATAATAGTGAAAATAACATATTGCTGCAACCGTGCTAATAATCACAATCTCTTCAGCAGAAAATGCAGGAGCACAAAGCCACTCAGTGAGGGCTTCTGGCAGTGGCCAGTTACTAGCACTAACTTTTCTATGGGACTTTCATATTTTAAAACTAAACAAACCCAAAAGTAAGCCATGCTATATAGGGTAAGCTGTCACTCTGATTTTCCTCACGGGTCTCTGGCAGAAGCTCAGCCCTTCCCTCATGTCAGCACTGGCTGCACAGAGGGAGTGTTTTGCACCATCCCCTTCTCCGTGAGGATGGTCCAAGTGCTGAGGAACAGGCACAAGCTTTGCCCTCTACTGCTCCTCTTATCCACTTGTTAGATGCTCCACTGCCTTTTTAGATGCTTGCAGGGAGTTCCCTCTTTTTTGCTGGCTTGCCAGGCATTATGAGGCTGTGCTAAATGTTAATGTTATCAGTAAGGGCAAATCTTGGTTAGAGAGCAGGCAGCCTCAGCTCTGCAGTAACCAGCTCCTTGTCTGATCAGAGAGACAAGACTCTAATTTCTTTTGCCTGTATCTACCACATAACCAGAGCCAGGCTGAGGAAGGCTCGTGGGTTGCACTAGGAGAAGTGCTGGACTTTACATACCTCTTCAGTGGCAGCCTTTTTAGCAAGCTGTGTTGAAATCAAGGGTCTTAGTCTGCAAAGAAGGAAAGAAGAAATGGTGAACATCAGAAAAGTTACACCACGCACACAACATTTGAAACAGAGCACTCGCTCTCCAAACAGTGAAAACACTTTGCTAGTCTTACATTGTGCAGTTACTTTTTTAAAGATGTAAGATAAAGAGTGGAGAGCCACAGACTCCACAATAATTAATACATTCCCCTGTAGGTGCTTGCCTCTGTTCAGGATAATAAGAAAAGATGCCAGTCAACCAGCACAGTAGCGAAAACCTCACCCCAGCAGCCCCAGCCCAACAAGACAGTCTTTGAAAGAGATGGTTTTGTCACATATTACAATAGTCAAAAGGCAACTGATTTTTTGGAAGAACGCAGACATGGCAAAAATTGAGCCACACTCTGAATTACTCAGCACTGCTCCACAACTGCTTCCCTGTACTTGGTGATATGTACAGGACACCAGTAAGATTAAACACACAGCATATTATAATAATCAGACATGAAATTTTAACCTCCAGCTACAGAAATCATCATCAAAACCAAGGGGGCCCTGCATACCTTGAATGGGAATTGACAGAAATTGAACATAAACATTGTTAAAAATTCTGCATAAGATACAAAAAAGACCTGGATATTTGGGGAGAAAAGATGGATCAGCATGACTTACAGCTAAGTATTAAATCCTGTTCTTTTTGAAAAACATTTCATACCCTGTTGTCTCCTTACTGTCATTAAGGCTGTTCTCAATCCATCATTTAGTGTCGCTTTCTGGTCTCTTCTCCTCATCTAGATGTTCCTAGTCACAAAGAGGATGACTTGCTTTCTACTGAAACACTGCTCAGACAGCTCCTCAGCTGCGTCTTTTAACTAAGTCTAGGCAAACAACTTAATGAATACCAATTTATGTCTCCAGAGATCTAGTCTTTTATGATAAGCAGTATCTTTCCTCTCATTTTTGTATTATTCATTCCTCCCTGTTAACATACAGATATTGGTTGTTTTCCAACTTATTTATTTATTCCAAATAATCAGGAGGAGGAAACAAAACCCAGAAAATGATCAGGGGGGACTCAGATCATTATCTCTGATGGAGAAGTCTATTAAAATACAAGATCTGAGCTCCAAAAAAGGTTCAGAAACTGGTCATCTCTGAAATGCTTTGCAAGACCCAAAAGGCATTTCAGCAACCAAAGTAGTCCAAGCTGCCACAGGAATGCTTCAAGGGCTGTACCACTGAAAGATCCAGAGCACATTATTCTGCTATAGACACTTCTTGTCATATTCCACAATTATAAAAAAAAAATCAAGAAAGAGATACACTTGACCCACATAATTTATCTATTACTTACAAATCCTGGTGGACTTCTGGGATTAGAGAGAATATATTTGAAGGCACAGACACACTCCTCCCTGTGTGCCTGGCCTTCCCTTTCCTTTATCAAATTCTAACCTGAATCGTAGAGTTTTCACAGAATCATAGAGTGGTTTAGGTTGGAAGGGACCTCTAAAGGCCATCCAGTCCAAACTCCCTGCAATAAGCAGAGACATCTTCAACTACATCAGGTTGCTCAGAGCCCCATCCAACCTCACCCTGAACGTTCCCAGGGATGAAGCATCTACCAGCTCTCCGGGCAAGCTGTAGCAGTGTTTCACCACAATCATTGCGTAAGATTTTTTCCTTATTTCCTAAAATTTGAAACTACCAACCTACTGCAAATCACTGTTTACCAAAAGTCACCCTGTTTAGATGCTTACAAACATACGGATGCAGCAATGTCAAAAGGTTATGTAGCTGAAGGATGCTAATTACTGAACAGGTTGTATTTCATTGAGATGACTGAAAAAAATCCAATAGGGTAAGAAATGAAGGACTTTTATTTTAAACCAGTAGCACTAATTATTGCAATTAACATTGTACCAAAGATAGCACCTATTTCCTCCTGTTACCAAAAGACATCAGACCTCCCTAGAGCTCCCTGAAATCTTTCCACCCCCCAATTAAAATCAAGCAGTTGAGTAAGGCTCACAAGGTAATCAGAAACTGCTGACATTTCTTTTAGAGCAAATCATACATGTGCTCAGACAGTGAAGAAAACAATCACAGCTAGAGGAAGCAAAGAGTGAACATTCCAGTTTCATTTTAATTAAAATGGTCCCCTAATGAAAATAAAAATATTCATGCTTATGAATACCTATTTGCAAACTTTAGTGCTAAATCAAAGAGCCCTTCTATACCATTTTTCATCAGTGACTGACTCACACCCAAACTGAAATTAAAGCTGTATTTCTGTTACATGGTAATTGCTCACAGAACATACATCTTCTTCTCTTCATTCCTAGAAACACCCCGCTGCCACCCCTTTTGGGCAACATGGTTTCTCTCTCTGAATAGTACCCAAAAGCCGTGGGTTGGATTCTGCTCCTGCTCTGGCTGTTCAGCCCCAGCTGCAGTGCTGATCTGAAGGGGTCACCCATACTTGTGTACCTCAGTACCATGTGCCACCTACCAACACCAGTGACCAAAACTGAAAAAAGGTAAAATCATTGCAAAGAGAGACAAAAACTTATTACCCCTCCCTCCCCAATAATGTCTTTGATTAAAATCATATAACAGTTGTAAATATATAAAAAGAGAAGTTAATTTCTCTCCCCTGGCTCCTTATGCCTACGGAGAACCCTATTATTACTGGACAAAACCACTTAGGAAGGTTTTATAGCAGGGTTTTGTTTTGTTTCTCAAATGCCCCAATACCCTGACCTCCTTAAACCAGAGCAGCTGCTGCCACACCAGCCATATGGAGCAATAAATTACTGGCTGCCATGGCTACAGATACAGGCTCCTTCTGCTGTCTGCTTGCACCACAGAGGGCAGAAAAAAGGTCTTCACAGAAGAGCACGACTGGTTTCGAGGCTGGGATAGGTCTGAGCACTCATGATCAAAAACACACCTTGAAAAAACAAGTAACTGAAGTATCTATCCAATTTTTAATGTGCATGACTCAGCCTCAACTGTGTACCAAGGTATACACATGCACATACACACTACACATGAAAAAGTGCTACCACAGGCCAGTCTGAATTCAGGGTTGCCAGGTTCCATAAGTAACAATAACATCCTGCCTTAAGATAGGATCCCACATATGCTAAAGCACCAGCAGTCTCTATGGAAAATGAAATGTTGCAACTGGTCTTCCCAAGTGTTTCAGCAGTTGTTCACTATTTATGATGATTTCTAAGTTGGGGCACTTTTATTATGAACTCTGCAAATGAACACAGTACCTTGTGGGAGGGAGCGACAAAACGAGCAACAACCCGAACAGCAGCGTGATCCGTAAGAGGGAAGAAAGAAAAGATTTGACACAGCCCCAAGTGTTATATCCACATTTCAAACTACTTCAAAAATTATGCAGCATTACAAATGCTCGTGTCAGCCAACGCACCTAACATTGGAAGCAGATAATCCTGACACGTTTGCAACAAAAACTAACGGCACAGTACATGGCATCAGAAGCTGCTCCCTGCCGAACCCACTCCGCTTTCAGCTGAGATGTGCACGATAACATCTAGGTTTGTCCTCCAGCTTAACAATTTAAAAGAAGATTCACTATAATAGCTCCTGACAGGGCTGAAGATCACACAGACTGAACTTTCAAAGTGAGCAAATTCTCTGGAAAAACAAGCTGGCTGTGACAAACAACTGTTTTTATTTTGCTTATTATTTAATAACAAAAGATTACACAGCACAGTGCATAAAATGGGAAGAGCACTGCGAGGTAATGAAACCACCTCCCTTCCATCAGGCTGTTTGCCCACCAAAGACGTTTACGATACCATAACAAGCTCCTCAGCGCAATCCTGCGAGTCATTTGGAAACTCACCGAAAGCTCTGTTTCTTACTGAATTTTAATTTAATCCATCCAAGTAGGGAGCATCTTATTGCTGCTTCCTGCCCATACTAATTCTATACGTGGACGATCCCAGAATAGGTGATGGGAAGCAGAGATGCAACGGAGCCTGCAGCCACGAGCTTGTAGTGCAGTCGTGCAGGTCCTCTAAAGAGAAATGCCCATGAACCCTCCAGATGCAGACCACAGCCCTTTCACAGGCACGCCACCGCGGTGACAGATAACGAGACTGGTCAGGTTCACCACGCCGGCCGAGATCCTCCTCCCACCTGAGGCCAGATGGTTTTGCCTCGGGAGGTCAGTTTACCAGACATCTGTGTGAGAAGGAAATGAATATAAATGTTTACCCCAGCTAAGAGTGGCCTTTAATTAGGTACCGTCAACATTATCCTTACCGGAAAGCTGGGAATTACCTCTCTGCAAGGACTGAATGCTCTTGTTGGAAGCACAACAGCATCAGGAGATACTGACCCGCCACTCTGCCATTAGGTCAGGACAAAGAGGTGACTCTCCCAGACCCCTTCTCTTTTCCAGAGGATGAAACAGAGACTGACCACGACAGCGACACTCTGGGGCTTGCACATTCAGCTGTGAGTCCCACTGTCTTCTACATCTGCTTCTGGCTGAGAGCTGGGAGCTCACAGGGGCCATTCCTACTCCCAGTACGGACACCGAGGTGCAAGGCAAAGGCCACGGCTGGCTCTGACACCAGGGAACGGCTGTGTGACGCCCTGAGGCTGTAAGGGTGCACTGTGGCACACCAGAAGTCATCCAGACACAACCATGGATACCATCATGCCCTGCAGAAAGACAAAGCATCTCTGATGCTCACACCCTGAAACCATGTGTGCCTGAATGGGAGGCAGGCAGGTGGTTTTGGCTCTCTGAAGGCCAGGCTGACCTGCCCTTTGCCCAGCCCATCTCACCATCAGTGTGAAGGCTCCAAGGAGTTGCCCTGAATCACTCTCCTCAGTTACAGGACTGCAAAGACACCAGTCAATGCCCAAAAGACACTAACTGAAGGGCACGTCCACACTGTGGTGAGATCAGCTCACACACGGTGAGGTCCTTTGGAACTGGATAACCCAGTGCTGCCAGCTGTACAAATGTGA